GCATCGGCATCGTCGCCGTCCGCCAGGCGGGGCAGGTCGCCGTCCGACAGGCGGCGCTTCAGGACGGCGGCTCCGGCGCCGCCCTCCCTGCGCGCACCCGCCCCGCCGCCGCCCCCCCCGCCGCCGGCGGTGAGGCGGCGCCGGATGTAGCGCGTGGGCGGGGCGCAGGCGGCCACCAGCGCGCCACCCGTCCAGGCCCCCGCGCTGGCCGCGGCGCCCCCCACGCCGCGCACGCCGGTCTCCAGCGCGCGGACCAGGCCCGTGGCGCGCAGGTCGGCGCGCAGCTCGCCGCCCCAGGCGCTGGCGGTGACCTCGCGCCGCAGCGCGTCGGCCGCGCCGGGGGATACGCACGGCACGACGTCGGCGTTGTTGATCACCGTGGTCACGTAGGCCGCGCAGCTGCGCGCCAGCTCCAGCGTCATGCAGGCGGGGCAGGCCACCGCGATGCAGCGTGCCTCGGCAAAGGCGCCGCCACGCTCGCGCAGCATCATGGTGAGCAGGGCCGCGGTGCCGCCGCCCAGGCTGTGCCCCACCACGCGGGCCGCGTAATCTGGGTGCGCTCCCAGGGCCTCGTTCATGGGGCCCGCCGCGGCGGCCAGCACCCAGCGCGCCGCCGCCAGCATGCCAAAGTGGGAGTAGCCCAGCACCACGCCATTGCCGTCCACCAGGTGGTGGGGTTTGGCAGCACCTTTTAATTTTAAAGGGGGAGGGGGGGATGTTCTCAGCGGCAGTGCCGGTGCAGTCATGGGCAGAGTCATGGGAGTGAGTTAAAGGTGGGCGCTTCAGATCCAAGCTCGTGCACGAGACACCGGGCTCGAGGGCAATGGAGGGGACCATGCCGTCAGACACGAGTCACCCCCCCCCTTCAACCCCCCACTCACCCACCCACCCACACCCCAGTGACAGCACCTGTCAGGCTCGTGAACATGTCCTTGAAGGAGTGGGTGCCGCGGATGATGAGCACGATGGCGCGCAGGTGATCGTCCCGCGCCAGGATGAAGCTGGGCTTCAGCACGCCCGCCCGCGTCTCCTGGGCCAGGATGGCCTCGGGCCCAATGCCCAGCGCCGTGGCAAAGTACTCGCGCTGGGGCCCGGGGCGCCGCTCGCGCATGCCCACGCAATACTGAAACACGCGCCGGATCTCGCGCAGCTCGCGCAGCGAGGCCGCCGTGGCCGCCGTGTCGGCGCTGCGACCGTAGGGTTGCCCCGCCCGCGCGATGTCGGTGGTGACGTGCTCGGGCGGGTTCTTGCGGCACAGGTACGTCAGGCCGATGAGTAGGTCGGCCGTGCCCCACCGCCCCAGCGTCTCAGAGTAGGTGTATCTGATTGAGAGGGGGCGTCGAGGGTTGGGATGTGTTGGGGGTTCCGGCGAGGAGGATGCTGCGATGCAGAGTGAGTAGGCCTGGAATAAGTGAAGGGGCTGCCCACCAGGGTGGCAACATGTGAAGAGTAAATCGCCTGGCTCATGTGGCATGGGCATGAGCATCAACCAACCCCTGTTCAAACGCGTAAACAGACCTGGGACCCCCTACCATACGAGGGCATGACGAGCCTGGCATGACCCGCTACGCCCTGCAACACGGCTTCAAGGCATCTTTCATGCCGTGCGTGGCCGTGCCAGGGGCCGCCCTCCCCTGTCCACCCTGCAACCAGCCACGGACCTGAGGCCCTCGGCAAAGTAGTAAAGGTCCTCCATGAAGGTCTGGGGCGCCTGATGGGCGCCCGTGTGCGTGGCATACTCCCTCTCCTCCCATTCCAGCTCCGTCTGGCGACGTTTGTACAACCAAAGGGCCACGGCCGTACCGGCTGCAGCAACGGCAGTGACGGACATGGACCGCGTTGGTCTAGACCGGCATCGCAGAGTCTCCTGTGCAGGCCCACGCCCAGGCAAAGGACTGTCACCGATAACTGATTCGCTGCACCTGCCAGGGGTGCGGAAGGGCATCGGCCCCTAGGCAGGTTGGGGTCATGAATTTCCCGGGATTCCCTCGACAGGGCTGAAAAAGAAAGTGACGTGTCGGACCGACAGGGAACGAGCGGCTCCCCAACATGTCCTGCATTGATGCAAGCATTGGCTCAGCATTCCATATTCTGATCATGGATGTGTGGATAGCTATCGGCTGACAGTAACTAGCTGCCGAGTGATCTGGCAGGGAGAAGGGAGGTGTGGCCACCCCGCCAGTCCTATGGCAGCGAGCAAGCGAGGGGCGAATGGGGTGGCCAAGGAGGGTGAAGCAGGGCCCGCCACATGCAAGGACACGGATGAGAAGGTGTGCGAGGATTCACCACCTCCACTGCCCGCCTGCTGGCCAAGACTGTTGCCTGGCTGGAGATGGTTGTTCAGGGAGCCTTACCTTCCTATTCCGGCCACTTGAGCAGGAGGGCCCCAGCCTGAGGTCGGAGTGGAGCAGCGTGCTGGTCCTAGTGGTCCTGTACGCCCTCCAGGGGGTCCCCCTCGGCCTCAGCATGGGGAGCATGTGCGTGCGACGGAGGGGATGCGTATGGGTGGTGAGGAGGAAGTGATGCATTGCCCCCATTTATACTCCGTGGCCCCATACCTCCCATCCCATCCCCCCTCTCACAATCTCCCTCCCAAACACACACACACGCACGCACGCAGGCCGTTCCTGATGCAAGCGCGCATGAGCTACACTGCCATCGGCATTTTCTCCTTCGCGGCCTACCCCTACTCCTTCAAGCTGCTGTGGAGCCCGGTGGTGGACGCCAGCGCCCTGCCCGGCCTGGGCCGCCGCAAGTCCTGGATCGTCCCCCTCCAGCTCCTCAGCGGTGCAGTCATGCTGCTGGGCGGCGCACACGCCCAGGCCCGGCTGGACGCCGGGGACGCGCTGGGGGTGACCCTGGCCTTCTTCGCGCTGGTCCTGCTGGCCGCCACGCAGGACGTGGCGGTGGACGGCTGGGCGCTGGAGCTGCTGTCGCCGCGCAACGTGGGCTGGGCCTCCACCTGCCAGACGGTGGGCATGAACGTGGGCTACTTCCTCTCCTTCACCGTGTTCCTGGCGCTCAGCGACCCGGACTTTTGCAATGCGCGCCTCAGGGCCCCCGACCAGGCCTCGGATGGGGGCATCGTGACGCTGGCAGGGTACCTCAGATTTTGGGGCTGGGCGTACCTGGTCCTCACCCTGGCCATCGCGGCGCTGAAGAAGGAAGGCGGCAGGCCCCGGCCCGCCCCGGCCGTGGACAATGAGATCTTCGGCGAGGGGGCCGCGCTCTGCTTGAACCACGCCGAGCCCGACGGCCATGCCGCGCTGCATGCGGTGCCGCTGGCGGCCGAGTGTGGGGCGGCGGCTCGGCATGACGTCGAGGCCGAGCACTCGGCGGCAGCGCCCACCGTCTCGCAGGCGTACTGGCAGCTGCTGCGCGTGATCAATCTGCCGGCGGTCAAGCGCCTGGCCGTCGTGCTCATCGTGTGCCGCCTGGGCATGCTGCCTGCTGAGGCGGCAGCCGCCCTGAAGCTGCTGGAGAAGGGGGTCAGCAAGGAGGCATTAGCTGCCCTGGTGGGTGGGGGGGCAGCGAAGAGGTGCTGCCAGTGGGAAGGTTGTGTGTAGGCATGGTAGCGCTTGGCGCTGGGCAGATCGGGAACGCAGCCACGAGGTGTGGCGGCCCTGTGATGCACTCGAGCATTTGCCTGTATGAACCCTAATCTGGTGTACCCTCATGAAGTACTCTCTCCTGCCGACAGGTGCTGCTGGAATTCCCCATGGAGATGGTGTCTGCCATGGTGGCGGGGCGATGGGCGGCGTCTGGCCGCCCCTTCCACCCCTGGCTCCTGGGGTACAAGGTCCGCCTGGTGCTTGCAGCCCTCAGGTGAGGTCTCCGGTTCTGGGGTGGTGGGGATGCCAAGGTTTGGGGAGTCAGAGTGAAATGCATGGACAGACGAGCGTCCGCTCACACAGCACTACACCGCTTCTCCTCCCACATAATTCCCGCTTTCTGCCGCGCAGCACTGCGGCGGTGTACCTCTTTCCCAGTGGCGCCCAATCGCTGACGGACGCCCCCGTCGCCTTTGCGGCCGTGGCGGCTCTCGGCGTAGCCACGTCCTTCTGCAGCACGCTCATGTTCACTGCCATGGGCAGCTTTTATAACATGTGTGTGTGGTGGGGGGTGGGGGGGGGGGGGGGAGGG